CCTGCTCGCCTCCTCCCTGCGTCGTAGACCACGACCTGCTTTGCCTCCCACTCCCGTATCTTCCCCGCTCGCCCAGAAAGCCCCGCTCTCGTCTTCTTCCCCGCGTATGATCCGAAACCCACTGCTCGCTTCTTCTCGCTCGACCTCGCTCGCCTTCTCCCCCTCTCTGCCTCACGAACCGAAGACGCTCGCCTCTTGTCTCCTCACGCCAGACAGCCCGCAGCACTCGCCTCCCTCTCTCGATAGAAATCCAGCTCGACTCGTCTTCCCCCTGCCTTTGCACTGAGATCGATTCGATTCCTTCCTTCCTCTGGCGCTCGACCGAAGATCGAAACTCAAAAATCGACACTCCTCCCTACACCGAAAGCCTTCGCCCTTCTTCATTACGTAGGAGAAGCTTCATTCGACTCCATCGCAACCCTCGCCTGGCGTTCAAGCTTCACTTTTCTGCTTCGCCTCCTCACTCCACAGAAACCTCTTCCGTCGCTCGCCTACATTTTTGTTTCTCCCACTCACCTTTCATCTCGGCACCGAAGAACTCACCTCCCCTCTGCACTGAAGCCTTTCTCTCGCTCGGCTTCACTTTTCCTGCTCGGCTTCGCTTCTCCCGTTGGCTCTCCTACCCGCGCCCAAAATTCTCGTCGCCTTTCCTGTTCGACTTCACCTCTCGATGGAAACCCAGCGGCACACTTGCTATTAGAATTAGCTGGCCACGGGATCACCGCGTGCAAGACCTTCGAAAGTCCCATGTCGCTTCGCTGACTCTACAATGTTTGGTTGTCCCTCTTGGTCACATGAGATTGGTATCTCTTGCAGCTAAAATCTCTTTGCACAGTTGCACGTATATTTTCGGAGCTCTCTTTTCCTTTCATTTATTCTTTTATTTTTTAATAAAAATTTATTGTCATTGATCATTGAGTGCATATCCTAAATCAATCAGTTCTTCTTTCTCAACACAAGACAATTTCATTTGCTCTTCTATTGAAGTATGATATGATTCTTCATTCTATATAATCTTTGTTCGAAATTATGTAATTTAGGAAGGCTTCTGTGATTTATTTTGACTGGACAAATATAACATGAATAAAAAAAATGATACTAGTCATATTAATGCAACTAGTGACAAATGTTTACTGCATTCCATCGGATAAGTGTCGATCATTATTGTATATTCATATGTTTGGCATCGATCTTTGGAGAACTATAAATGCTGCTTTGGTTATACATTCTTATTGATTTTGGAGAACTATAACAATATTTTGATTATATGTTATTGTTGATTTTAAATGTTTAGCTGTTGGTTTTATGTTTCAAGCACATAAATGCAAATATTATGAGGTTCCAATGATTATTTACGTGCTGATTTTAAATGCTCTGTTGTTGGTTTTATGTTTCAAGCACTTAAATGCAAACATTGTGAGGTTCCAATGACCGTTTACTTACCGATCTTAAATACTCATTTGTTGATTTCGTACTTCGAGCACTCAAACGAGAATACTACGAGGCTCAAGAGGACCGTTATTTCAGGGCTTGAATGCTTCTTTACAGGTCTATGTTCTTTTATCTCCAAATGTCTCCCTTTGGGGGTTGTTTTACCTGTTGTTTGGTGGGTTTAAACATTGCGATTTTTAGGACTTTGTCTACTAATTCACATACTATTTTAGAGTCAGTTTGTTAACTGATTTTGGAGATTTTACACACTATTTTGGACTGAATTTCCTAACTAATTTTGGGACATTTAAAATTGATGTTTTGAGCTTACATGAGAGCTGTTTAGGAATTTTAAAAATTACTGTTTTATGGCTGATTTTGAGAACTTTGTCTACTATTTTGGAGGCATTAAACCCATCATTTGCGGGGTTGTTTTAATCACTGTTTTGAGACATTTTTATGGGCTGATTTTGAGGCAATCTACGCACTGTTTTTGCGAGATTTATGTAGCCTTTAAGCATTGATTTACGCACGATTTAGAGTTGGATTTAAGAAGTTATTTCGCCCACAGTCTTGAGTTTCATTTGATTATTATTTAAACACTTTTAGGCCGATTCGTTTGCTTTTTTTTGTCTCTTTGGCTTTACTAGTTTTGGAAGTGGTTCGGCCTCCTTTTTTATTTATTTTTAAATGGTTAAGTCATAAAGATGTAGAGTGATGATTTAATTAATTGGAAGATATAGAAAACCTTAAATCACCTTAAGCATAAGTTAAAGAGTAGGCTTCCTAGAGTTTTAGGAGCACACCCTAGGTGAGAGTACATCCACCTAGTCCTCAGTGTAGGCTTCCTAGAGCTTAAGCACACACCCTAGGTGAGAGTCCATTCACCTAGCCGTCAGAGTAGGCTTCCTAGATTTTAGGAACACAACTTAGGTGAGAGTCCATCCACCTAATCCTCAGCACTGGCTTCCTAGATTTTAGGAGCACACCCTAGGTGAGAGTTCATCCACCTAATTCTCAGCATAGACTTCCTAGATTTTAGGAGCAGACCCTAGGTGAGCGTTAATCCAGCTAATTTTTGAATAAATAATGAAACTTGGCACTTGACCCTAATTCACAAACTGATCAAGAAACTAGACACCAGGATGCACCGAGACGTAGTTCATGTTTCCTTAATTAAACCAACAGTGAAATTCCCTCAATGACTTAACCTATAATGAAACCCAGTGCACCGGGATTTGAGCTTGAATATTACACTCAAATCCCCCTAGCAATTGGGGAAATTTGTTAACGTCACATATGGATCATCGGACTAGGATGAGTCTAAGGTCTAGGTGGCGAGGGTGATGACGTCATTGCTTATGTGTGCTTAAACGAGGAATACGAAGTGGGATTATTAAAATAGTATCCCCTACCTCAAGGATCTTCAATAAGAAAGAGGAAAGGATCCATGATACTATTCGTCAATTCTTGGTGGGATCGTTGCCCCCGACACTCTTAGGTTGTCAGTAGTTCTAGCATGATTAGAGTGACTAGCCTGTGGACTGTACGACTTTACAAAATATTTACAAAAATAAAATAAAAATCTTTTTCCCATGTTAAAAAGAACACTGCATAAAAAAGCCTTAAACAAAAGCTTTTGCATGAAAATCAAATAATTTTTCTATGAAAATTTATAAAAGTTCATGGTTAGTCATTTGGATTGAGGTTAAGAACTACCTCCTGTAAATTGTCGAGTTGGCAACTCTTACTCAAGGTCAGGAAGCACACAGCCCAGCTTTGAGCCCCCACTTTTACCAATGTCTTATACCTAGTCCTGAGCTTTCATATGTGGATACAGGTTTCTTTCGCTTGTGATTTCTACTACTTGTTTTTATGACTTTCATGTGGGTCTTCTTGCCTTATTTATTTTTATTGCAAGTATGTTTAAATATGCTGTAAATCATACTATGATCACAATATTAATCGTACAACAGTAGCATATGCCCAGGTACGCTTTTACAGTTTATTTACAACATTTTACATTTTTACATTTTTACCTTTCAAGTACCTTTTATTTACCTGCAATTTGACTACTCTGCATGGACTATAGGGACTAGAACTGAAATCAAAACCGAAACTAAACAAAACCAAATATTGACACCAAAACTGTGAAGCATAAGCCACCAATCTCAAACACTTAAAACCTGGAGCTGTCACGATGACAGGAGCTCGGAGCCCGGAGCCAACTTTGTGGGCAGCACGACGAGGAATTCAGACCGAGCAGCAAGAGGATCTTCTTCAGCATTATACATTCCTAGTATAATAACAACACATAGGACTTCGAGGTAGCTCGTCTGGCGCGACGTAAATCCTCACTCCCTTTTTAGGCTCCTGTACAACCATGTTGTGCAGCGTAAGTCGTAACCCGCTTTAGGTTCTGAGGTTGTCGTGTGACACGACGTAAACCCTCTTATTTCTGCAGGTTATTTGCATAATCGAGTGTTATGCATATGTAAGTCTCAAATAATAAAATTGACAGGATCAAACACTTAATTAATATCGTCTCTAAAATGCAGTCACACAGTAGGATAGTTTGGGAGGTCACTGAGGAGGTCACTGAGGATTTCCCTCAGAATCTGTGACATCCCCTACCATTTACTTCCTTTGGACTCCTGAAAGGATTGTTCTCACTTGAGCCACTCTCACTTGTTTTTTCCACGTCCTGCCTTGAAACCTGAACCTTGAATTCTTGAAGACTAGAACCACTTATCATTATCGAGAGTTTTCTCAAGTGACTCTCGTCACTTGGGATGTAATTAATTAATAGGGGTTTACCTCTATAGGGAACTTGGAACCCAGGTAAAATAAACCCTATTTAATCTTTGTATTAAATAGGGGAACTTGTCGGTCATCATTTGATACACTTGGAATGACATATAGTCCTCTATTAGATTATGTCAACTTAAAATTGTTCCATTAAATAAATATTCACTCCAAGTCTACAAGTCCCCATGGAGGACACAACCCATGGTTGTTGATACTGATCATTTGGTCAGGCGAGGTAAACTAACTCCACTCACAAGTAGACCAAAGTCCAAAATAACCCAATAAGACTGAAACATGGGATCTTGATTAATTTTTTCATCCCCCATAATTAACTCTAAAACTAAACTATTGCACCATACCATAAACCCTTAGTATTTGATGGCCAGCTTTAATTAAAAGTTCCGTCACTAAGAGGAGTGATTGATCAAAGAGCTTGTACTCACAGAAAACCTAAAAGTGTTTTTTTTAAGTCCTCACGAAAATACAACAACAACAAAGCCTTAATCCCACTACGAGGGTAAGTCCTCACAAAAATGAGGGGGAAATTTTTAGATGGTGTATCATTTAAAGTCCTAATCTGCCTTTGAAAAACTAACCCAAAACACAAAAACATTCCAAGAGAGCAGGGAGTAAATTTTTGGAGCCCACAGTTTGGTGTTTCCATTTCAAATATATATATATATATAATATGTGTATATATTAAATGACTTAAAAAATGAATGTTCTCTATGAAAAAAAAAAGGAACATATGTGAACTGTACCTCTAAAATCTTTGGCATGAACCCACAGTCCAACATGACATCAACCCCATACATAGCCCTCGAAAAAGATGAATGCATCTCAGGATGTACTGTAGCGGCTGAATCAAACACAGACCTGATCATGTTCCTTATGCTTTCATGGATATCCAACCATTTCACTGCAGTGCAAAATGCATTATCAAATCGTAACATGGATAGTCCGATTAATGCCAGAACCACCATAGTTTTTTCAGGAATTAGGGTACAAAAAATGTAGAAAATGACCTTGATGTTCCTCTTCAAACTCTTGAACAAATTCTGGCGTGTTCATGTGATTTAGTCTTCCTATGTAATTCTGTTTTAAAAATGTAGCTCAATGTTAAAGCAGCCTAATTTATTTAAAATCTATTTCCCCCCACAGCCACTGCCCACCCAAAAAAAAAAAGAATAATAATAATTAAATAATTAAAAATAAAAATAATTTATTGAAGATGAATTGAAGAAAAATTGAGGTTAGATGGTACAGTTTGACTTTGTAATAAAAAATAAAATTGAAATGGTTATAATAATTTTACTCGTTGCATGGCTATGATCAACAATTATTCATTACATGTAATAAGATTGGCTCTATTAATGCCATCACAACAAATTAGAAGTAAAAGCATAGTGTAAGAACGATCCATTAATAATCCTAGTTAAGAAAAAGAGAAATGCTCAAAACGGTTATTAGACAATTTGCAAAGAGTCGTTTTAATCCCATACAATTTAAAGCTCTAATTTAGTCCCCCCACTCCTTAAATGTGTTCCAAAATAATCCCAAAATTAAAATCGTTGTTTAGTTTGACTGAAATTTTGCCCAAAGTTCATGAATGAGGTAGGAAATAAAGGTATTTTTAGAAAATTTTGTTTTTATACATTTTGATTTGTGTGCAACACCTTCATTTTCTAACCTCATTTGTAAATTCTGCATGAAATTTTTATCAAATTATACAAATACTAAAACTGTAGAACTATTTTGGATCAGCATTCAAGGGGTTAGTGGATGAAATTGAATACTTTAAATAGTCTGTGACTGAAATGACCCCCACAAATAGTCTAAAACAACTTGAACTTTTTCACGAAAAAAAAATTTACCATCACTGTGAAATGCGTTTCATAATCAAAAAGGCTGCTCTTTTCCAAAGTGAACTGATTATTAGCCAGCCTAACCTGTGACAAGGAAAGAGGGTTAATAAATGCAATATCATGGAAGACAAAACTTCAACTTCTTTTGTCCTAAAAATGTTTAAATCAAGCATTTTTACTTGAGCATGATAAAAAAGTATAGCATACCCAGAAAACATCAGCAAGAAAAATTTCTATAGGTTTCATGCTGCGAACCAAGACTATGTAGCGAAGGTCAAATTTTCTTCCCTTGAACAACGTCGGGCGTTCGATATACTTTTGGCATATTTTTGGGCCAGTCTCAATGAGACGGATGATTGCAGATATATCATCAGTAACGGTAGTGTCTATCGTCCTTGCCATGTTCCACGGTTTTAAAATCCACAAGTTGTCATGGCCAGCCTGTTTCCTCATAAGGTAATCTCCTACGAGTTGAGAAAGTTGCGTCTCTAAGTTATATGTAGGCTGAAGCCATTTAGGAGAACCATGCGCCTGCTTGTACAAGGAAAAAGAAAAAAGAAGCCAAAAAAATTGAATTATAAAGAAGAATACAAATGTCAATGGCTTTCACCACTAAATACATACCTGAAAAATTTCACTGCACAAATGCCGAGTAAAAAGTTAAACCAAAAAAAATACCAAAAAGAAAAGCCATTGCTTACAGTAATTACTCACTTTAGGAATGACAATACGCTGAATGCTTATACTGAAAGTAAGAAAATAAATGCTACCTTATTTATCAAATGATAATTACACGTCGTTTTGAATACTGAAAGTAAGAAAATAAATGCTACCTTATTTATCAAATGATAATTACACGTCGTTTTGAAGTCAAAGGTTATGGAGGCAATAAACGCTTTATTTTTGACACTAGTGAATGTAGTACATGTAGAGATCTGGGAACAGGCAAACTATATATTGCTTGTCTGTAAAGAAATTTCTGAAATAATATAGGAAAAGGAAAAACATAACAAGCAATTCACTGCATCATACAAGCATATCAAATGTTTAAGATTCAATTCTCAAGCAACATGAAGCTAATTATCAGAAGTCTGCAAATTAAAAAACAGGGGATGCTGGAATAAGAATGGCCCAATATCCACTCTCTTTTTTATGTTTGACAACGTCATAAAGCTACTGCAACACACAATTTAGATATGAATAATGGAGTATAATTTGTGTCCGACATGTCATTTTGAGTCGAGTTCGAATAAGTTCTCTATCATAACTCCAAATTAAAGATTTTGCCTCCCCGGCTTGAGATAAAGATACGTTTAGTTAAACATCATTGATTTTGAGTCAACTTTCAAGTTGACTTTATTGAATCTATAAGATGATTTTTAAACTTGTAAATAAGCTTAATAACAATAATTTTATTATTATTATTATTATTATTATTATTATTATTATTATTATTATTATTATTATATATACACTTTTTAAGGTAGCACTTATATATACAATATTATATACACAAAATGTAAGTTTTATTCATGCATGAACTCAACCGAAGACATAGACGTATCATGTAAAACTAAGTATGCAATTCAGTAAAGGAACAAGAAGGATGAGCAGGAAAAGGCAGAATCTATAGATACTGGGATAAACAAAATTCCTTGCAAAAAGAATCTAGAAGAATTCTCAATAATAAGAGATTTCAACGCATAATTTGTCAAGTATACTCACCACTTTTAATTATAGATAAATACTGACGCGGGGCTTTGCAGGCCGGATGAACCGGCTTGCTGGATGACCGACTAAACCGACCAGGATAAATCCCATTCCAGCCCCTTGTTGGACCAGCCGGCCTTCAGAGAGCGGGAGATACCGCGCCTCCCCTTCCTTGCGTGTTGCGTCTGTTTGCCACCCTTCTCCCCTTCCTTTTTTGGTTGCCGCCCTGCATATTTTATCTATTAACAATTATATATTTGTGGTTTTTTTGCTTAGGGTTCAGATTAGTATGTGTTTTTCCCTCAGATTTATGTGTGGAGTCTTCTTCCCTTTCGAGGTTTGTATCCGACAACAGGTGGTGTTTCGGTTGTATCCTGCTCTGAGGTGGTGTTGTAAGCTCTTTGATCTCCTCCTTACACTCTTCCTTCCCTTCCTTAGCCGCCGGCCTGCACCCCCACCTCAATGTTCCCCCCTTTCGCCCATTTTCCTGCCGCCAACCTGCTGTCCACCTTATCTAGTCTACCCAACCTGCACAGCCACTGTCTTATCTCCTTCTCATAAGTGCCGCAACCAGTCCTACCATCTCCCCTACTTTCGTGACCCCTTCCCATGCTATCTCCCGTTGCTACCACCACCGCCTTTCCTCCCTATAGTTGACGCCAGCACTCTTCCCCCTAATCTTAGCCACCGGCCACCATACGTGTCATTCTAGCCACCTACTCCACGCCATCTACCACTGCTACCCTCTATCGCCTCACCATCACCACCGTCCCCGGATCTTATCCGGCCCTAGTCAAAGATTGTAGTTTGTTGTGTTTTTGCTTATGTTTTGAGTCGTACTAAAACCATAATTATTTGCTTGATAAAATTTGTTTCTGTTATCACAGGTTTGATTATTTCTGGTATCGTTTCGTATCAGAGTTAGTTTAACCCTAGTCCTATCCTAGGGTTTTCCAGCATCCGCCCTTACTCAAGCCACCTCCAACAAAAAATTTATTTCTTAACACCCACCAAACCATAGCAAATTTTGACCTAACCCTAATTTTCTTTTGCTGATTTTCAAAATCAACAACCTCAAATTAAAATTTTCACACCATCAATTGGTCTCATTCTCCCTATTTCACCTCCCAACCCAAAAAGCTGTCCATGCCACCAAGGAGATGCATGCCCGAACCTACCGAGAAGAAATATAGTGAGAGATCCGCCAACTTTTGCAGAGATTGGCAAACATTGAATGTGAGACCCAAGAGAGAGATTCAAGAGGGACTTACCCTCAATGGTGACTGAAAAGGAGAACTGGACAAAAACTTCAACCGCTTCCATAAGGAGGATTTCAATGATGACGATGAAAGGCCACGATGAAAGGCCACGGCCTAGAGAAGAGACATCAGATGGAGGACACAGAGACTAAGAAATCAAGATGGATCTACCAGTTGAGAGGGGTACGGATCCGGATGAATTTATTGATTGGCTACGATCTGTTGAACGGATCTTCGAATATAAAGATGTGTTAGAGGATAAGTGGATAAAAGTAGTTGCTATCAACTTGAAAAAAAAGCATCTCTTTGTATTAGGAGAGCTTACAGCGAAAGAGGAAAAGAGAGACAGTCAGAAGATTACTAAATGAGAGAAGGCAAAGAAAGCAATGTAGAAGAAATACCTTCCACATCATTATCGACAAAACATATTTCTGAGGCTCCACCATCTGCAACAGTGTCTACAAAAGAAATAGAAAAACAAGTCACGAACCATTCAATGGATGAGTTCACAGTTCAGTTCAACCACTTACAGATGAAATGCGAGCTGAAAAAGCTGGAGCACACCGTACGGAGGAGCACACCGTAGATCGGTACCATAGGGGCCTGAAGCCCGCTGTTAGCAATGTGGTACAGTTGCGGCCGTATTGGTTAGATGGGGATGTCCAAACCTTAACACTGGAAGTGGAAAGGCAGCAGAAACAGAGCAGACAACCACCACCAATTTGGCAACCAACCACAGTCGGCGACTGCCAGCAGGAGCACGCCTTAAGGAGTTAAAAAAATTGGTTTGGATAAGAATAGAGCCACCCAAGGAGAAGAATCATGAAAAAAGTAGCATGCTTACTACAGTCCCTGCCAAAAAATGCTTCAGATGACAGATTCAGGCACATCGCCTCCCACTTTCTGATGAACTAAGTTGTGTTTTTCATTGCGCAGGGAGCCGTGAAGGAGGTTAAAGATGAGAAAACAGCTAAGCAATAAGTTGAGGATATCATCTTCCACCAAATGAAGGAGAGGCGCTTGTGATTCGATGAGTCCTATAGACTGAGGATAGGAGAGATCCACAGTAACTTCACCACAACATATTCTAAACCCACTATATAGAGAACGAAAAGGTATTGAGTCTTATCATCGATGGGGGAGCAGCAAGAACGTCGCATCTACGCAGATGATAGAGAAACCAGGTCCCATGACTCAAATGCACTCCAAGCCATATTCTATGACGTGTCTGATGTAGATCATATTTGCTTAGTGGAGTTTTTTATCAGTAGTCAACTAAAAAATCAGGTGTGGTGCGATATCGTCCCAATGGAAGCCTGTCACCTTTTGTAAAGGAGACCGTCGCAATTTGAATGGAGGACTCGTCATGATAGATTCAGAAATACATACTCCTTCGCCAAGGATGGGAAGCACAGTCCTTCTCCCTTCAGTTGAGCACGAGATCACAGGCGCCCTGGTCAGTAGAGCAACACCAGTGAGAACGGTTTTGGTGACGACATGGGATGATGTGACTGAGGCATCAGCCTATACACGTAACAGACATGGCATATGGCATTTCAAGATATCACGGTCAATAACCTACCGCCAACACCACCACCATGTGAGGAGGTTCAGGTTACCCCCACTTCAGATCTAATTAAGCCGACCGTGAATTACTTTGGGAGTATTCAGTAATAGAGACGAGAGACACAGACTTAGTTCAGTTCAGTCGCAGACTCCCAGAAGATTGGAACGATGTCGATGTTTGCTTGTAAGTTAAAAAATACCCTTAAAATCCTTGGAGGATGGTGCAGTCGGCAGTGGGATCCAGGTGCTGCTAGAATTGCAGATGAAGAATTGAAAGCTTCGACGAATGAAGTCAAAGCTCCCCCAATCCCGACAGACAAGCATGGGCCTTTGGTGGCGGGACGCGGGTGACGCGGGGCTTTGGAGATGAGACGCGAGGCTTTGGAGGCCGCTAAACCAGCTTGCTGGATGGTCGGCTAACATGCCCAAGAAAAATCCCGGCCCAGGCCCTCGCTGGACCAACCGGCCTTCAAAGAGCGGGAGATACCATCCCCCCCTCCTTGCGTATGTTCACCGCCCTTCTCCCCTTCCTTTTCTATTTGTCACCAAGAAGGGTCTTCCCTTCCTATTTTATCTATTAGCTATTATATGTGTGGTTTGTTTGCTTAGGGTTTAAATTATTGTATTATCTTCTCGGGTTTCTAGGTGAAGTGTTCTTCCCTTCCGAGAGTTGTATCTAACGACAAATGGTGCTCCGGTTGTATCCTGCTCCAAGGTGGAGTTGTATCCTCTCTGATTTCCTCCCTACTCTCTTCCTTACCTTTCTTAGTTATCAACCTACACCCACACCTCACAATTCTCCCCACACTTTCCTGCTGCCAACCTGTCGTCCACCTTATCCAACCGCCCAACCTGCACAGCCACCAACCCTATCTCCTTCCCAGAAGTGTCGCAACCCCTCCTACCATCTCCCCTACTGTCATGACCCCTTCCTCTGCTATCTCCCTTTGCTACTGCCACCTCCTTTCCACCCTGCAGTTGTCGCCAGCGCCCTTCCCCATAATCCTAGCCACCAACCACAATACCCTATAATTCCAACCACCTGCTCCATGCCATCTACCACCGCTACCCTCCACCGCCTCACCATGACCACCGCTGTCGTTTTCTTTTCTAGCCCTAGCCGGAGAGTGGTGTTGAACATGCTTCTGTTTTGAGTCATGTTTATAATCATAATCAGAACATGCTTCTGTTTTGAGTCATGTTTATAATCATAATCATTTGCTTCCGTTTTAGCAGGATTTATTGGTTCCAGTATAAAATACATTTATTGTATTGGCCATTACATTTATTGTAGTGATTTGTGCACACATACAGATACTGTTAATAAAAAGGAAAAAAAGGGTAAATTTTTTTGCTTCAATGCTCATTCAAATCAAGGAATAGAAGAATACTACTGTCTATTTTTCTCTTATTTCTGTCATTTTGTTTCAAGCGTTATTCTCCAGAAGCAAGTTACATCCCCTCTAACCCGCTATTTACATAAAAGAAATACACATACATGTGCTTATATCATATATGGAGCTGGATCAAACTAATTTTGAGTGAGCGTCTTCAAGCGAAAGCAATGAATTCGATTTTAAGTTTATTACAATTCAATAGCTAGTACAACGTGTAATTTTCAAGTAAATTTCGGATTTCAAACATAATAGTCAGCCCTAGTGCCTCCCAATCTACATCCTTTTAAAAATCAGTCCCTGATGCTGAAGAACAAAACTAGAAAGATTTCACCCAGGAAACACGTGCAAAATTTAATTCACCATTGTGTAGCTCTAATTAATAATGAAAATAGATTCAGGAGGCAAAAAATATCAAATATTAGAATTATTAGTAGCAAAGAAGGTTATGTATCAAATTAAGAATAAATATTAAGCCGAATTTACAGACCTCATGAATAGTCTCAGCTAGGTGATGTTTCATCACCAGGCAAGCTTCAAAAGGGAATTGATTTATATACTGCCTATCTGTAAGACCCAACGCCTTTCTCACATCTTCATCAACTTGCATACTGGCCCAGATGATGTCAGCTTCCTTTGGATCCGTTGCTGAAGACAATATGATCAAAGATGAAAATGATGACATTTTAGCAGATCCTAGACAATACATGCATAGCCATCACTAACATAAAGAAAATCATTAAAAGATGGCAAAATGCTTCAATGCAGGTCGCCATCAAGTATGTCTCTCTATCAAATAACGAAGGATTCATGGCAAAAGAATTGGACCTCTGTAAGAAATGAATCAATATATATTTCATTTAACAACTCCAGATATATGCATTCACCAAAAAAGAATAAGAAAAGAGAATCAATATATATTTCATTTAACAACTCTAGATATATGCATTCACCAAAAAAGAATAAGAAAAGAAAAAAACGAACATAAAACATGTCAAAGATCATCTAAAAAGTAAATTTGTATATGCATGAAGAGCATCTAGAAACACTCACTTAGAATAAACTCTGGGCGGCTTAAAAATTCTTCTACTTGTATTATGTCTGTATATACATAGAGAGGATGCCCGCTACTTGGAAGTATACCTTTGGTTATAGGAGGCTCTTTATTAGTAGGACAATGTCCTTTTGATTCAAGTTGTTGTTTGTAATTTTTGAACTCCTGTTGAAAATGAAAGCATAAAAAAGAACTTCTGGTATCATGTAACGAATTATGGAATCGAAGGAAAAGAACCATGCACAAGCACCTGAATAAAATAACCATCAGGCGTATGGAACCATGCTGTAAGTCTAGCAGAACGTTGTTTTTCCTCTCCAATGCCAAACAAGAAATCACGAGTACATTCATCCCCATAATTGACATCTCGAGTTGGCCACAACACTGAATAGCTGCAAATATTCCATAATAAAAGAATGCTAGCAAGCATCAACCATGCATCAAAGCACATCAGTTAGACAAGCAATCCGAGCAATCAAAATAATATTCTTTGTTGACTTTCAAAGTTCAAGAATTGCATCTTATGCAAATAAGTGAATAAAGTAAAAATGGCCAGAAAATTACTACACATTGACGGAAAGGGACAAAGAATAGAAGAGAAAAAGTAATCTTCTCAATTAAAACTGCATTTTAACTCTGTTGTGACTTGGACAAATAGCATAAATCATCCCTCTTTAATATATTAGATTTTAAGCAATTAAAGATAAAATTACTCAAGTTATGTTTTAAGGAAAAAAAAAGGTTTTAAACCTTTAAAGAAACAAGGAATTTAATTCTTGGCCGGCAAAAGAATCCAAATTAATGTCGCGCCTAGATCAGTTTATCTTATGATAATTTTGCATGATAATTATTAGTATAGCACTCATTAAAATTGTATATTATAGTTGGTATTTGTTCTAATAATTCAAAAAATCAATTTTTAAAATTGTTTTCATCATCCTAACTTCTCACTCGTTTCAACAGATGATAATAACTAAAGAACTAATACCGCTTTACCAACAACCGAATCCAAGGCAAGAACGGCCGCCTACACTGGCAGTACGTAATATCACAACAAGTCGAGCTGACATTTTTTCCTATAAAATGTCCATATTTGAATCTAGATCTTCCAAAATCCCATCCCACTGATGTAGCAAATGAATAATAGCTTTTGCATGCTTTCCTATAAAAAAATAATTAAAAAAACAATGCATATTGTATGTTTTCAAAATGATGAAACCTTCCCATGGTTTTGAAACTCTTAAGCATTAGCATCATCAAGAACAAAAATAAACTATTACCTCACGAATCATAAAAGTTTTGTGAAGAAATCCCTAGTCTCCATTGAAATTCAAAATGCATGCATATAGGTATCTCCATAACAATGATTATATGGTTAAACAAAAAGTAAAAGAACTAAAAACAAAAACGGAAATAAAGCCAAAAGGCCAAAGTAGAGTAGCAGAAAAATGTAGAGAGAGAAATACCTTATAGCCGATTCAAGCTTTCCGTCTGGCATGAAAAGAAAAGGTGCTACTCTGAAGTTTGCCATCTCACTATGTCGTAAGGCTGAACCTAATTCATCCATAACATACCTACGTGGGCAATGTAGCTCAAAACTTAACCAGGTGATTTTTTAAAGGAACCATTTTATTGCTGTTAGCAAGCAAATTTAGGAACAGAATTAGCGAAACAGCTGTGACATCACTAATAATTGCACTTTGTAAAGATGAGATTGCATGCTAAAAACTGATTGATCTTGAACCGGAAATCTGAAACAAAGCTAATTAGAAAATTGGAAAATATTTTGGATTTCAGAGAATATAAAATTTACATTATTTAGTCATAGTATAATCAAATCACAGAAAAAGAAAATTTATTCCAAAACTCCAAAAAAAGAAGAAAGCTGTACTTCAAAATAGAGCCTGTACCAGAATTGCGAATTTGCTATTACTTCGATGGGTAAAAAAGAAAAAAAAGTATACTTAAGAATTATCATTTAAAAAGTCAAATATTATGTATCAAATAAATCAGATATCAAATCCATTCATATATATGGCATACACTTTTTTTCTTTTTTTGCAGTTTTTGTGAATTGTTAACATAGTTGATTAATTTAACTATCATTTTCAATTTTCATTATTAAAATATTTAAATTAATATTAAATTTAATTTTAAAAATATAAAAGACACCTTCTATCATTAAAATCTAACATATGATAATCAGAAATGAATTAAAAAATGAAACTATTAAATAAATTTTAAAATTTTTAGTTATTAAGTCATACTACAGTTAATTAATGTAAAAAAAAAATCAAATCAAAAAATTTCTATTTACTAATCTATTAATTGGAGTAGATTAATCCTGAAGCTAAATTTAACAATTTTTTTCATTAAAATAAGATGTGGCTTTATTTATTAATATAATTTAAATATATTGTTTTAATGGATGAAACTAATTATATATGAATTGTGTTATAAATAATAATATTTTTAACTGATCAAATTATCAAAATGACAACGATTTATCAATTTCATCATTTAAAATAACCACATATGATAAATATATAAACTATTATAAAGTAAATTAAATTTAAAACAATTATTAATATATTAAAAAAATATCTACATAAACGGGCACAAATCTTGATGGCATTTTAGATGAGATCACTTTTAGTCAATTTCAAGACCATCCAAGTTCTAATTTCAACAAAGTTTTAGTCAAACTAAAGTCTCGACAGAACCAGCACAACACCAAAAAAATTGTCCTTAAATTATAATTGGAAGCAAGAAATTATTAACTGAAAAGTTAATCCATCTTTAAAATTGGCATGCTTATAGTCAAATAGAGCATTTCGATGAGAGAAACTAAACAGGCCCTATATCACTAAATTTTAAGGTTATCAAAGTACATAAATTTAAAAAATTAATTTATGATCAAAAGAGTTAATATGAACCGTCCGATAGAGTACTTTGGAATTTTGGCCGCTCTAAGAAAACTGTGGACCCCCTATTCTCTAAATGATGGGGGGAGAGGCAGAGTTGAGAACTAAATCAAAACTCGTAGAGAGAGCATAAAGCTAATAAGCATCAACAATTGTCACTAACAACCACCAATAGTTGATGTAGCCCAATTATTTTCATCTAGTTCATCCAGTTGTTATTAGTTAATAATGTCTACAGACTGTTGTTACCTAATCATCATCACGTAATTGGCATTGACATCCAAAAACTTTTATTATAACAATAAAATAACATGTATTATAATTTCATCTTCTCCCGTTGATGTGGAAGAATAAAACTCTATAATTTGAATTATCTGGCCAAGCGTCATAGCTTTCTCATTTTTGGGATTTACACATAAAAATATTGTCTCTTATCATTTCTATATGTATTTGTGTTAGATGATCTTAGAGTCAAGACTTAATTTTTCTCTGTTATTGAGGATTTTTTTTATCACACAATAACTAAAAAAAAAATATCTCCATAACCGTGGCGATTTATTTTCTTATAAAACTAATTTCTATTGATGTAAAGATTAAACTTAGTTTATACTTTACAAAGTTGGTCAAAAAAAGGCTCATGGATTTTACGGCTATGGATAGTTTTCCTAAATACACGCACGTAATTCTTTCATTGAGAAACATGCCAAGGATGTTAATTCATATAAGTTGCATCTTGCATGTCACAAGAAATAAAGAATTGCTTATGTCCATATATTGCATAATGCAATATTGATTGACGTCCATACACCCCAAAAAAAAAAAAAACAGTCTTGCGATCTGGGAAAGAATGTCAAAATCGTCTATCCCACATACCTTAGAGAACACTTTGAAAACCAAATATACTTTGCTGCAATTGGTCAGGCCATTAAGATTAAATTTAATAATGAACGCCCATCGACAAGTAATTAAAATCAAATCCCACACATGTTGACTAAGAAAAGCATCCATCCCAACAACCATAGCCTGCTTCCATAAAGGTTTTCTTAGCACATCTTAGTGTCCTAGAAATAGATACAAACGACAAAACCAAGGGAAATTTACAAAACTGAGGGAAAAACATAATAAAATGAAATGTAGGAATGAATAAAATGAGCATTATGTTATAATTTCTATCAAAATGCAATAGGTCAAAATAGATTAAATGGCCAATAAACTATGAATGCTCAATTGAATATGAAAAAGTTGTTGGAGGTATCGGCATGGATGGAGTATGAGGTCATTGGAAGTTTACTTATAGGTGTTGAGGTGCAAAGAGTTTTGAGGAAGAGAAAATAGTGGTGAGGATGGCCCAATGGTGGAGGGAGAAAAGAATATATTCTCACAAATTATTTTATCAATGAAAGTATATAAATGTCATGCAATGTATGTCATGCAATGTCAAATCCCAACTAACCCCCTTGGTAGAATCAATTGTGATGCGGCAGAGACTGACAATTTACTTAGATCAACTCTCACCAGCACTCGTCCTAACTTTTATAAACAGGACCTAGTGAGTGATGAATTAGTCTAACCAAATTGCCACAACATACGTGATACATTGTATTTCATATACATACTCAAAAACATGGAAATCATATCATCCAAAAAATAAAAATTATACAGAGCTGCTAAAATCCAATATATTTCAAGCTCCCAAAACTATCGTGACAAAGACACACATTGCTACTCACCCCGATGCTCGTTGACTCTATCTGGAAGGCAACAACAAAAAATGAACAATAAAGAGCTCAGAGAAATAAACAGGGCTAACATTAGATTTTATAAATGAAAAAAAAAACTACATGCATGCTCGTAAGAAACTGCACATGTTTACATACACAAGTAATAGCATGTTAGCATGGTATTGAATATGAAAAGAGAACAGATAATATAAAAATCAAGATTGCAGTATAAAGTGTAGATCGTAAGTATGAAATCATATGTATAATCAAAAGCATATTCATAATCATGTTTATAAGTTGTTTATCACATGTAATCATAGCAAAATCATTTTATAGTAATGTTACTTGTTTAATGTACAACGATTAACAACTTCCATGTTCTTTCACAATTGGTCCACACACACAAGTAATAACATGCTAGCATGGTAGAGAACATTAAAAGAAAACATATAGTATAAAAATTAAAATTGCATTATAACATATAGGTCTAAAGCAGGAAATCATAAGTATAATCAAAAGCATGCCCATAAGCATGTTCATAAACTGTTTATCATATGTATAATCATAACAATGTCATTTCATAAAGGCCATTTCATCGTAATGTCACTTGTTTAATATATAAGGTTCAACTATTTCCATGTCATCTTATCATAAGTTTTCACCCTGCCCTAAAGGCCATATAAAATATTGATGAGGGTTGGATTTTCCCCAATATAGCAGTTATCAATAGTCCCCTTGATACATGCGGTACTCTAACGTTCTATCACCACCTAATTCTAATGATTCACAGAGTTTTGCCATCATATAAATATCATGAGTCTTGAATATTACATCCCTGCATATTGTATTTGCAAGCACTCATTTAATAGCATACACATGCATTCATTGTGACATTTAAATGTACCAAGCATTTATAAGGAATTGCATGCATCATAGACATGAAATATAATAAATGAATACCTACAAGAAATTCATATCATAAGCATAGTTACATGTAGCATAGTCTAATCATAGTATTACATATATCGTAAGGAAAGCAAACGTGTATTTATACATTCAATTTTAGGTATCCATTCACAAAATGCATAAATTCTAAATGCATGTGTCAAAACAGAAATGATATAAAAACCTATAGAAAATTATTTTTCTTATATTAGTATAATATTATTTCACCTGACTTGATGGAGCATCCCTATGACAAACGCCCACACGTTTGTCTTGAGCTCGCCGCCTCATATGAACAACTTGGGGCTCACAGACAAAGGAAAGTTTCATAAAATTTGGCTCATAAAATGCATTAACCCAAAAATGTACTTTATTTGCCAAAACATACCTCAAAAGGGTTTCTTGGCATAAATTTATCTTTTCACAAAACACCAAATTTCTCCCCAACACTTCCTAACAACTTAACATTCACTTCCCCCTCATTAATATCATGTAAAAACCCATATGAAAGCTTTCAACCTAATTTTGATGCTTCCCATACCATTATGGCACCTCCGACGGCTATCGGAAACGAGAAAAGCATGAAAAAATAGGCAAATGTCAAAATGAAAGGGTGAGGAAGGAAATAAAAGTCTCAAATAATGTGAAAGAAAGATTCGTAATTGCAGAAATTACCCCGGAACTCTAGATCGTGTTTTGCAGCTCCCAGGTGGGCGCTCTATTCGTCTGCTAGCTCGCGACCCTTGAACTATAGCAAGGGTCACAGTCTCTGCTTTTGTTGAGCAGCAGCAGACGCGTGAAGGAGAGGAAGAATTGGGATCGCGTTTGAGAAGAGAGGCTGAGGGGAGGAGTTCGAAACTCGAGACTCCCTATTCAACCAAACGAAGAGAATAAAAGGCATGAGGCGGTTGGCTACAGTAAGGGAGACGAGATTAGAGAGATTAGGAAATATAATTAGGTTTTAATTAATTAAGTAAAACTTTT